ACTACTTTCTTAAAAATCGAAGAGAGGGTAAAGGAACAGTACCATTGCTGGATAATTGGAAAGTCCCTGTGTGTCAACCTCTGTGCTTCGTGGCAAGGTAGACTAGCAAACATGCCCAACCTTTACTCACATTCGAGAAAACACTCCCAACAAGATTGCTTGCTCCAAAATCGAAGAGGCACCGCCCTCCGAATCTCGAGAGCCAGACTCCCAACATGATTACTTTCTCAAAAATCGAAGAGACACTGCTCCCCGAATCTCGAGAGCCAGACCCCCAGCATGATTGCTTTCTCAAAAATCGATGAGGCATCGTTCTCCGAATCAATCGAAGAGGCGCTCGCTTTCTCAAAAGCTGGGCTGCTCAGAGACCACGAGGGCCGATCTCAGAAATCGAAGAGGCACCTACTTTTCTAGCCTTGTCAGCACCTGTCACACGCACACTCAGCTTTGCAGAAATTATGGGCATTCTGTCGAAGACTTCTGGTGAAGTAGAAAGCACATGAATCTTACTGTTCAATCACCCACTTTCCACACGCAACAATAGCTCATGGGTACCACAAATAACTTTGCCAAAGTTCTCTGCCAAAGTTGAGCACGTGAAGCTTGCAGCTCCCACTACATCGCTCTGACCAAGAAAGGTAAAAGAATAGCAAAGAAACAGCACTAACAAAAGTTTAGACACATAAATTTTGAAGGTCTAGCTACCATATTATTACCCACAACTGTAAAGGAACAGTACCACTGCTGGATAATTGGAAAGTCCCTGTGTGTCAACCTCTGTGCTTCGTGGCAAGGTAGACTAGCAAACATGCCCAACCTTTACTCACATTCGAGAAAACACTCCCAATAAGATTGCTTGCTCCAAAATCGAAGAGGCACCGTCCTCCGAATCTCGAGAGCCAGACTCCCAACATGACTACTTTCTCAAAATCGAAGAGAGGGTAAAGGAACAGTACCATTGCTGGATAATTGGAAAGTCCCTGTGTGTCAACCTTTGTGCTTCGTGGCAAGGTAGACTAGCAAACATGCCCAACCTTTACTCACATTCGAGACAACACTCCCAACAAGATTGCTTGCTCCAAAATCGAAGAGGCACCGTCCTCCGAATCTCGAGAGCCAGACTCCCAACATGATTACTTCCTCAAAAATCGAAGAGACACTGCTCTCCGAATCTCGAGAGTCATACCCCCATCATGATTGCTTTCTCAAAAATCGAAGAGGCATCGTTCTCCGAATCTCGAGAGCCAGATACCCACAGACCACTTTTTCAAAAGTGCTCTGACAGAGTTAAAACATGTGAAACTGGCAGCTCCCACTACCGTGCTATGACCAAGCAGGGTAAAGGAATAGCATTACTACTTGTTGTTAGGGAGACTCCTATATATGTCGACCTCCATCCCCAACGGACAGGCAGACCTGCAAAAATGCTCAACCCTTCATCATATCTGAGAGGGCACTCCCAACGAAGCCTTTCGAAATATTCAGCTTTCTTTCCCCCCGATAATACCTCTGCAAACAAGCTATACTAGAGCAAGAATATCTCATATCATCAGGGTTAAAAGCAAGAGTATCCCATATCATGCTTTTTCCCTGTCTTTTTCTTTTGGCCTTGTTTTTTACCTGCAAGACAAGGAGAAAGAGAGCAATCAGTCAGCACTTGGAATCAAGCTTCCAGCCAGGAACTGACTGCCTGGAACCCCTTACCTGATTACTTACCTGGCATTGCTCTCGAGTACTCATCTTCAACATCTTATGTTTCCAGGGAAGATTCCGCATCTGCTTGAGGAACAGATAGGGCAAGTGCGAAGGATACAAGGAAGCATGTGGAGACAAGCGTAACAGCACACGTGCCGATACATTCATTACTCTGTCAAAAGCAAAAGTATCCCATATCAGCAGGGTGGAACGTACTCTAGATTTGATGGACTTGTTTTGACCCTCAAATTCTTCAGTCGGCCTTATACTCTGGAGGAAACCAGAAAACCCTCCAGCTCAGTTCAAGAATAAGCCTGTGGAAAGTTACTTCTTCAAAAGCAAAAGTATCTCATATCATCTCTTCTCATTTTTTCTTCTCTTTTATCCTTCATGCTGCTGCAAGATGGGGAGAAGGTGAACAATCAGTCGGAGCTCTGATTGCTTACCTTGTCTGTCACCTCTTTCAGCAGACCCCCTAGCTCGGCGACTTGGGGGACTCCTACTACATGGTTTGTATCGCGCTTGACCAAGCCTGAAACTACAAGTAAGCTTCAAGTGAAATTGATACATTACCTTGTGCTTCTCCACCAGTTAAAGATACCACCCCTGGATGGAGGAAGAGTACTTCCAGAGAAGATGCCACATCTACCTATGAGACAGATAAGGCAAGTCAAGACGACACCACACTCCGATACTTAGAAGTTTCGTGATTACGAGATCATTCTCCCACAATATTTCCTAATGTCATTTGTACTAAATCATTCACTTGTACTCACTAAATGAGAGCTTGAACCTATGTACTTGTGTAAACCCTTCACAATTAATGAGAACTCTTCTATTCCGTGGACGTAGCCAATCTGGGTGAACCACGTACATCTTGTGTTTGCTTTCCTATCTCTATCCATTTATATACTTATCCACACTAATGACCGGAGCAATCTAGCGAAGATCACAAAAAGCGATCGTTTTCGCTACCTAGGATCTATCTTGCAAGAGAACGGAGAATTAGATGGAGATCTCAACCATAGAAATACGAGCTGGATGGAAATAGTGCATGCATCCGGCGTGTTGTGTGTGACCGTCGTAGGCCACTGAAGCTCAAGGGAAAATTTTATAGGACGGCAATAAGGCTAGCGATGTTGTATGGCACAGAATGTTGGGGTGGTGAAGCATCAACACGTACACAAAATGGGTGTAGCGGAGATGAGGATGCTTCGTGGGATGTGTGGGCACACGAGAAAGGATAAGATTGGGAATGAGGATATCCGAGGTAAAGTAGGAGTAGCCGAAATTGTAGGAAATATGAGAGAAAATCGGCTCCGGTGATTTTGAACATGTGCAAAGAAGGCCGACTGACGCTCCGGTTCGAAGATGTGACTACGGGACAGAGGTTCAGGGCCGAAGGGGTAGAGGAAGACCTAGGACAACTTTGGAAGAGACTCTAAGAAAAGACTTAGAGTACTTGGATCTAACGGAGGACATGACACAAAACCGAGCGCAATGGCGTTCTAGGATTCATATAGCCGACCCCACTTAGTGGGAAAAGGCTTTGTTGTTGTTGTTGTTGTATACAAAGGATACTAGGGGCGGAAGAATTCAAACTCAAGACTTCAAATACAAAAGAAAATGCTCTTAAGTAATTAAGCTACAAACATCTTGCAGTTTAACTTTCCACTTGAAGTTTACGAAAATAATGAAAAATTGACTTCGAATATTTATATAAGAATGTAGCCAATCTATCCAAATCTTTTAAGCATGCCAAAGATAAAATTGAGTGGATTAGGTGAACCACGATTGATGAACGAACATGGTATATAATTAATAGAACGACAACTTAGACACCTCACTGTTATGGGCTTTTGGGTTGTGCATTGGATTGGATGTCCAATCAAATGAGATTTTCTTTAAACCTGTTAACATCATATTCTATCTCAACATCACTTGATTGTTTTCTTTCAAATTCATTGGCTTATAAGTAGTTGAATTATTTTTTATACTATCAATTAATTTTTTTGTGAAACCTTAATTTCTTTATGCTATTACAACGTGATGTCAACATGTGAAACCTAATGTTCACACGGGCTTTACGTCGTCTCGTTTGTGTTATCCACGTATTTGACTTGAAAATTCGCCACATACATATTGTCTATTAATTTTATGATGAAATCTTAACCTATTCACAAACCACATCTCTTTTTCCATAGATCGGATAAAAAACACTCAAATTAAGCAACACTATCTCAATCTTCCTCTTTCTGAAAATTGGTATTCACACTCAGAAGCCAAAATAGTCATGAGCTACTTTCGCAAGTTTTTATTTTGTTTTTTAAACCGAAAAACTTGTTTAATTCATTTCCAAAAATAACTGGAAATAAAATAGTAATCAAACAACCCTAATTTATACGTAAATGAAACAATTCATATCAGTATGGTGGCTGCATGGAAACAACTAACAAATGATCCTTCCTTGAATTAAACAATTGCTAAGTACGATTGTATTAAAATAAAATAAAAAAATTCATATCAGTTTGGTGGAAAATAAAATAATTGTTGAGCACAATTGTATTAAAATAGAAGAGAAAAAACACTAATCGGATTTGAGTACGGAAGATTACCGAAATAACCGGTGACCTAGCAGATCGCGAAACTTTAATTGACCGCAAGTGCCGTACTCATTCGGAATTTCGAGGACACCCTGTAAGTCGTCAACCTTTTATATATTCCAGCCAGTTACTCCCACGTGGCTGCGTGGCTCCAAAATCCAGCGAGTACACGAGACTAAAAGACACCGCGAGTACGTGATATGAACAAGATGGATCAGTAAAAAAACAGAAAAATATAATTAAAAAATGGAAATAAATGAGCTGACGTGGGCAGTCTGGGTTGGCAGAGGTGTGAAGATAGAGGAGATATTTTTTAATGTATTCCGAATACGGGATAGTAAATCATGTATCTATATACAAATAATAAGATTCTTCTATTAAAAAAAATTAATAGTATAAAAAATAAAATTTTTCATTACTTATACATTAAGACGTGGCGCACCACTGGGCACAAAAAAAAAAAATTTCTCAAAAGACAAAGACCAGATAGGATGCGTCACGTGACTGACTGACACCCACCTTTGACAAGTGGTGGACCTTAAAGAGAGAGAATCAGTTAATGACAGTTAAGGGTGGTGGTAAAGGTTGTCAAATGTTGTTTACTTTAGTGATTAACTTAACCAGGGTTTAATTAAATAAGATTAGAAAAGTGATTAGGCCCGTCCAGTTCACTATATAAACACTGCACTATGACAACTTTTCTTTGACTCCATTTGCCTGCAATTTTTCCTCCTCCTCTTCTTCTTCTTTCGACAACCGATCGAGTGCGATTGTTTATATAAATATAGAGATTAGAGAATGAGAGCTTACTCTAAAGCAACAATGGCGGTCTCTTTGAACTTGTTTTCGTTACTTTCGACAATGGCGGTTCTTCTAGCTCTGCTTGCAAGCACAAATGCCTCTGCAGAGAGTGGCAAGAATGTTAATTCAAGGTATATGCAATTCCCCCTTATTTATTTGTAGCTGCATTTCAAGTGGAGTCTATATATGAGCTTTGAGTGCTCATTGGATTAGGGTTTTTGTTGTGGTAGGTTTGTGGGACCAAAGGAGTCAATCAGCTCCAAGAACTCATCAATAGCAGAAAGGTCAGTTTTTCAGTAGTAGTTGCTATTGCTATCTTTTTCAACTTCTCGGTTTTAAGAGCATTCAACTGGGGATGTATCCTCCTCTCTAAGCTTCTGAGATTTTCGATACTACAATTTTTAAACAAACTAATAACGTAATGTGAGAGATAGGGAGACGTAGATTTATTTTCAATGACAACTCAATATTTCCCCAGCTGATTTCAGATCTTCTGATCTGGTCGTCGAGTTGGCTAAGAGCGCAAATTATAAATAATTTTTTTTTCACGTAAGAAAAAGTACGTACCCTTTTCATATCATGTACAGTTATCCAATAGCAATATGAATGCTTGGAGTAATTAAATTAAATCATAATTAATCATTTCAATTCTGCAATAACTCACTTCTCTCTCCACGCTTATCGGGCGGTGTGTGTCTCTTTGTGCTTATTTAATTAGGTGGTTAACGTTAATAGCTTTTAGTAACTCTTTCTTAATTAAAAAAAGAGTACCAAACTTTTATAAATAAAAAAATTGTTTTGATTTTTTGTTTTTGCAAAATTGGCGATGTTTTGTTAATTTGCAGGTTTGAAGAAGCTTTGAATGAGCACGCAGTAGATAATCCAGATGAAATTGCCTCTATGGTTGACATGTAAGTCTCTCATTTCTCTCTTTTATGATTTGCATTTACCCTAAATATATTTTAAATTATCATGGAATCATATAAAAGAAGTGTCACATGGCATTATGCATATTTGCATCAATTAACAAACTCACTTTATCATTACATGTCCTTTCCACATGCTTATATCTCCGACTAAAATTACAAGAAATGTAAATTTTTATGTATTTTCTTGTCTTCACATATGTGTCATATTACGCAAAAAGAGAGATATATACGAAAGAAGAGAGACGGTTACAGAGAAATACATTCGGTTTCATATAAGTCTCTCTTCTATTGTCTTCCTATATGTAGGTTAAATCCAGTCAAATACCATTTCAAATTTTACCTCCAAAAACTCCATGAAAAAAACAGTCAACAGTTCAGACTTCTGAGCAAAGATAACCCTGCTGGGTTAGATTTGGTACTCCCATTGTTCAAGAAAGAAAATCCCAAGGACCACTTTTTTTGTAAATTTAACCTAACACACATGTCATGGTCAAAAAATAATTGACTAAGAATCCAAAACTATACCGTTTTTCTGGCGCATACATTGTAATGTTGCTACTTTTTCTTGTAGTACAAATTCTCTGTCATCTTATATTCCAAAGATCAATTTTTCTGCGTCTTTAATGATTTCAATAATCAAATCCTTTATATTATATTAATAGCATATTATTATCTTAATCATTAATTAAATAGGAATTTGTGTTTATACTTTTTGGATTTCTGGGGAATCAACCACCCAGTTGTTGGCATGTTCTTGCAGCAGCAACCTCTCTTTCTTTTTCCTCACATGCCAATGTCGCCAGATCCGCTCCTCACGTTTTGCATTATTATTTTCTTGTCTTTTTTTTCTTTCTCCTTCCCCTTATCCAAATCTCATTCTATCTCCATTAGCTTTATGTGCCAATGCATATTTTTGCGCACCTTTGGGTTGTTTTTCCACCTCACTAAATTCTAAAGCCTCCTCTTCACGTGGAAAGATTGTTAGCGTGATAGTGAAACACTAACACGTGGTATAATCAGCTCATGTATTGTACGAATGGATGCTGGTGTAGAGTTTATCATTTGATATCAATAGACAATCACTCATATATGTTATCTATTGCATGCAAACATATTATATCATGTAACAATGTTATAGTATGACACAATAACTTATCTAAAAAGTTAGTTAATTATTGTACTTTACTAGGAGTAACGAGTTGATCCCTCTCAGTTTATCTTTCGACACTTCGTCTAGGAGTTTACAAAGCTACTTAGTACTCATTTGGACTACAGAAAACTAAATTCAGAGTGATAAATTGCTACCCTTACTTATTTTAAGACAAATATAACAATCACTACATACCACACTTCAGTTATATATCATATAAAACCATATCCTGTTTGCACTCAAACTCTCTTAGTTACCTTTCCAACACCAATTATGGGAACCAAATTTGCAAAATTAGCACTTTAGAATCCAATGCTTTTTATGTGATGAATACAATGCACTCAAGAGTAAAAAACTTTCATCATTCACCCCATCATCATGCGAACAATTTGTCTCATCCATATCAAGAAACAGCAATAATTACATTATTTTCCCCTAATACATTATGTTTCTAACACTCATTTAACGGTTCAATTCACTTAATAATGATCATAATTCCCCATTTCAGTGGGGTCTATTCTGCTTCAATTTTGCTCCCAATCCCCAGCCTGGCAAGATATCGCAGATCTGGTTCTGTACCAGAAGACCTTTTGTCTCATCAGAATTTTGCTTCATTTTTTAGCCGATCTAGCACTAGCAGCCAGCCTTACTGACAGAAACTACGTTGTTCAATGGGTCCGCAATGACCTCATTTAGTGCTCCCATGCAGTTTTTATAAAACCCTAATTCTCCACCGACACAACATTATGAACAAATTAAAATATTGTGCAACTTACCATTTATTACTCTGTGTCACTAAATTTAGGAAAAAAAAAAAAAAACCCAATTTCCGTATGGACCGTACCTTTCTTATCCCTAATGTTTATTATTATTGTCAAAATATTTTATGTCCCTACCATTTATTCGCATGGCCCTTTGGCCCCTTTAACATTATTTATGCATGTGACATTACATTATTTGCTTCACATGCTTACTTATTCATTTATTTAAATTAACAATGTGATGATTTATTTGTTTATTTGTAATTATTTTCAGGAGCATTCGTAATAGCACAGAGAGAAGAAATTTGGGATTCTTTTCGTGTGCGACGGGGAATCCAATTGATGATTGTTGGAGGTGTGACCCACATTGGCAGCTCCACCGCAAGCGCTTAGCCAACTGCGGCATAGGGTTCGGGCGCAACGCCGTGGGCGGACGCGACGGGAAATACTACGTGGTGAACAACCCCGGCAACGACGATCCCGTCAACCCTAGAGCCGGAACACTCCGCCACGCTGTCATTCAGGATAGGCCGTTGTGGATTGTGTTCAAGCGTGACATGGTGATCACACTAAAGCAAGAGCTAATTATGAACAGCTTCAAGACAATTGATGCACGTGGAGTCAATGTGCACATAGCATATGGGGCATGCATTACGATTCAATATGTTACTAACGTCATCATCCATGGGCTGCATATCCATGACTGCAAACCCACCGGAAATGCCATGGTCCGGAGCTCGCCGAACCATTACGGGTGGAGAACGATGGCGGACGGGGACGCGATTTCCATTTTTGGATCCAGCCACATTTGGATCGACCATAATTCTTTTTCCAAATGTGCTGATGGGCTTGTTGATGCTATCATGGGCTCTACTGCACTTACCATTTCCAACAACTACTTCACCCACCATAATGAGGTACTTAACTAGGCTTGTTTGGATTGCTTTCGTATGAAGTATTTAAACTCATAAGCACTTTTATTAGAAGCACAACGAGAGATTAACAAAAATTTATGTTGGTAATTGGAAAAGGTTATGCTACTGGGCCACAGTGACTCCTATGTAAGGGACAAGCTTATGCAAGTGACAATTGCCTACAATCATTTTGGTGAGGGACTTATTCAGAGGATGCCAAGGTAACATTTTTTAAGTGATTATTACCTTGCGGGTTGTGAGTCACCCGTCGATCGGCTGCATTCCGCCGGTCTACCAGCTGTTCACATTCCGCAACTATCCCGCAGTTGAGAAAACTTGTCACATGTTTTGTGTTTATTTTGCAGGTGTAGGCACGGGTATTTCCATGTGGTGAACAATGACTACACACATTGGGAGATGTATGCCATTGGTGGAAGTGCTGAACCCACAATTAACAGCCAGGGCAACAGATATCTGGCCCCTAACAATGGTTTTGCTAAGGAGGTATAAACTTGAAAAAAAAAAAAAACTAGTTTTGATAAAGGAGTTAAAATATGCACAAATAAAACCAGTTATAAACTGTTAATAAATGAATTAGGGAACAGTAAATAGCCAATAAGTTGTATATATATTGAAATTTACTGCACTGTTATTGTCTACCTCTAATTAAGATGGTGAGCTTGGAATTTGAAAAAAAATTGCAAATTTTTTAATTGGTAATTTGCAGGTGACACATAGAGTTAACCCAAATGACTGGAAGCACTGGAACTGGAGATCAGAAGGAGACCTGCTCCTAAATGGAGCCTATTTCATTGCATCAGGAACTGGTTCCGGAGCAAGCTATGCCAGGGCCTCTAGCTTGGGGGCCAAGTCATCTTCCATGGTTGGCTCCATCACAGCCAGCGCCGGCGTCCTCAACTGCCGGAGGGGTTTCCAATGTTAATTATATTTCAATCCCATAAAAAAAGAAAAAGAAACAAGAACAGAAGGAAGAAAGAAATTATTACCCATTCTTTCTTTCCTTTGATTATTGGTGAGTTTGCAGCCCTTATATTTACATCCCTTTCCCACTATTTGCCTCAATCAAATATTTGAGATGAAGCACTGGTGAACTTCTGCCAGTTCCTAGACCAGGCGAAGGCGCCGCTCCACGTCCAGAATACTGGACGTGATCTCTCCCAAAAAGTGTACATTTTTTCTAGTCACATTTCTACCTGTTACATTTTTGTATGTTTGTAATTTTGTATTTTCTTTGGTCCATATAATATTGTAATTGCACTTTAGGCAATGAAATATTTGATGACAAGGCCACATTGACTTACACGTGACCTAAAAAACATGAGCACATTTTATCCAACTAAGCTTGTTTAAGATTTTGCATGTACAAGCTATGCAGTTGTCACCCTCTTTGTTCTTGCCAAGTGGCTAGGCAAGGAAACAAAGAAACCAAATAGGCTAATATTCCCAGATAGCACTATTACGGTAACAAATAGTCTCATGGCATTCATAATAAATGACTTCGTTATTCTAGTTTTCTCCTTCCACGTGTCTTCAATTGTTTCAGCTCCCCAATTCTCCTTTAATTATTTATTCGAACATCAAAAAATAAAGAGTGGTGCAAAAATCATTCCCTTATATCAATACATTGTTGGTATTATCACAGCACGTCAATCGCAAAATATAATTTATATAGCATAAGTACCATATGTTGTAGGCACAACATGCAGTAAGTTCTCTTGATAACCTTGCTGCAATATAACAGTGGTATTTAAGAGTTTGTCCCAAAAAATAAAGGGAATTGTTATTGGCATTTCAAAAATCTCATTCTACACTCTAAACTTTTTATACTTGGAAGAAAAAATACACTTGTTATGAGTGTAGAATAAAAATTTTGGAGTACCAATAACACTTCTAAAAATAAAACCCATTATTTTCGTGAGCTAAATTGATAATAAACAAAAATAAATTATAAATAAATAAGAATTTAGACATTCTTAATTATTCCAAAGATGATTAAGTGATAATGATGCTTACCACTCTATTTATGATAATATATTTGTTCACCCCCTCAAGTGATGGTAATGCTCACCATCCTATTTATCACTATTGAATGAGTTTAAATTTTGAGATTTGCATAGTGAATAGATACAAGAGGAAATTGTAGTAATAGTCCCTCAATTTTAACCCAATTGTAGCAATGATTCCTCAACTTTAACTCAATTGGAGAAATTGTCCCTCAATTTTAACTTAATTGTAGTAGTGGTCCTTCCAACATGACTCATTTTAACGAAATTGACAAAAAAACCATAACTGCATATTTTGATGAGTTAAGGGATCAATGGTCATGAATTTTTAGTTGAATGACCATTAATAATAAATATAGTGGTGAGCATTACCACCACTTGAGAGTGATGAGCAAAACTGCACCCTTGTTTTATAGTGAAACATTGGTTGCATTTTTGTTCACCACCCTCAATTATTGGTAATGCTCACCACCATACTTATTACTATTTAATGAGTTTAAATTCTGTAATTTGTGTCTATCCAATACATTCGAAATTTAAACTCATCTAATTATGATAAATAGTGTTGATGCACAAAATCAGTGAGGACTTTGGTACAACAGAAAGTGTTAAGTTTGTGACCTTGGCTAGATTGCTCTGGTCACTAGTGTGGATAAGTATGTAAATGGATAGAGCAGGGAAGCAAACACAAGATGTACGTGGTTCAACCAGATTGGTTACGTCCACGGAGTAGAGGAGTTCTTATTAATTGTGAAGAGTTTACACAAGTACATAGGTTCAAGCTCTTCTTTTGTGAGTACTAGTGAATGATTTAGTACAAATAACATTAGGAAATATTGTAAGAGAATGATCTCTATTTATAGAAGAGAGTTTCTAGTTTCATTCTGACATTGACACGTGTCGTGTTGTGATTGACTTCTGATGTTGACACATGTCGCGCTATGATTGGCTTCTGATGTCAACACGTGTCGCGCTGTGATTGGTTTCTTGGTTGGAGGGAAACTCTTTTGGGTCTTTGACGATATAACGTTGACCGGTGCTCAATAGTTTCGGAATTGGTCAAGTATGGTATGAACAGTGCTCCCCTAAGTTCCCGAGTGATGGAAGCTCCTCGGTTGGAGACTTGCAAGATTCAAGCCATTGAGTAATCACGAAACTTCTAAGTACCGAAATGTGGTATCATTTTCACTTGCCTTATCTGTCTCATATGTAGATGTGGAATCTTTTCTGAAGTACTTTTCCTCCATCCAGGGGTGGTATCTTTAACCGATGAAGATGCACAAGGTAATGTATCAATTTCACTTGAAGCTTACTTGTAGTTTCGGGCTTGGTAAAGTGCGATACAAACCCTATAGTAGGAGTCCCCCAAGTCACCGAGCTAAGAGATTTGCTAAAGGAGGTAACAGACAAAGTAAGCAAACAGACTTCCAAGCAAGCAACCTGGATCAGAGGTTCGACTTCGGCTTCCGGTTGATTGTTCTCATTCTCCTTGGGTCGTAAACAACAACAAGCATAAGGAGAAGCAAATGGAGAAGAGATGATATGAGATACTTTTGCTTTTGAATAAGTAACTTTCCACAGGCTTATTCTTGAACTAGGCTGGAGGGTATCATGTACTTAAAGAAACAGTCACGTAAGCCTGCCGTGAAGGCTTTGAAGGCAGTCTTGTCGTCTACCTCGGCACAACAGGAATACTCATGGCTGAAGCGGCTAGCATACATACGTAATGACTCGTCTGCCTTCTGGCGAATAGTGTATAAGTCATCCGTAGAGTGCAAGCGATCGGTCTAGAAAATGTGTTGAAAAACAAACAATTTCCTCAATTCCTCAAATGAGTCTACCGTCTCAAGTGGAAGACGGCAATACCAGTTTAGAGCTTCACTGGAGAGGGTAGAGGGGAAGATAAGACATCGCTCTTCGTCGGTGTGCATCCGATATGCCATAGTGGACTAAAAAAGGTTAAGGTGTTCAATCGGGTCTTCCTTTCCAATATAGAGTTGCAAGCCAAGCTTCTGCTTTGTCTTTGCTTGGAGGGGGTGTCGAGGATCCTCCTTGTAAGAAGGCCAGATCTAGGTTGGTTGCAATCAGGTATCTCAGCTTGTCGTTCGGCGTTCAACTTGTTTACTTCCTTAAGAAGCTGTAGGACAAGAAGGTCCTGAGTGGAGTCATGTACCACTGGAGCTTTCTTTCGCAAATCTCCATCTCCTCTTGGAAGTATGAAGGTTTGATCAAGAGCATGTGATTTTCCCTGGACTCACCGTACTGACTTCCAAGGTATGTCTGTCGAAACATCTCTGAATCCCTTATACCTTCGTGTTTCTCTAGGACTTGTTGTCATTTCCCTAAATTGGTAGCCGGCCTGGGACATGAGAGGGGATCGAGTCTTTCAGAGACCCTTGGGTCATTGATCTTCGAGCTTACATGGATGGGATTGTCTCGACGTTGCTTTAGGAAATCTCGACAGTCATGAAAGACGGCTTTCGATCCTTCCATTCCTTCTGTAAGGAGGTGTCTTCCTCCACTTCTCCTGCTTCGGGTCGAAGCAACTGGGTTGAGAGAAATCTAATGTTGATCAATGTTCTGATGGTTAGCTCGCTCCTCATCAGGGATACCCATGTCAAATGAAGGCGACCCTCCATGTTGGGGGGCACCCAGATGATGGTTGATGTCCACAGGGGTAACGAGCTCGCGTGTTTGAGTACGCCTAGTTTCGTGGAGTGTCTCAAAAAGCTTCTCATATTGCTCCTGGAGGACCTCATTCTTCATTGCTATCTTGTTGTTCTAAGCTTCTAGCTCATCGATTTTAGTTTGAAGAGCAACAATCTTTCCTTCCTTCTTTCGTTGCCTCGCACTAAGTGCAAGAGGGGTGTCATTCTGCGTGCTGTGGCTTCCTTCACTCCCTATGTTGGAGAAGGATGCCTGGTCAAAAGAGAGTATACGAATGGTGGAAACCACTTTAACAAAGCTGAAGAGGGTGAGAATAAGTGTCGTTCCCACAAACGGCGCCAAATGTTGATGCACAAAATCAGTGAGAACTTTGATACAATAGAAAGTATTAAGTTCGTGACCTTCGCTAGATTGCTCCGGTCACTAGTGTGGATAAGTATGCAAATGGATAGAGACAGGAAAGCAAACACAAGATGTACGCGGTTCACCCAGATTGGTTACGTCTACGGAGTAGAGGAGTTCTTATTAATTGTGAATGGTTTACACAAGTACATAGGTTTAAACTCTCCTTCTGTGAGTAGTAGTGAATGATTTAGTACAAATGACATTAGAAGATATTGTAAGAGAATAATCTCTTTATAGAAGAGAGTTTCTAGTTTCATTCTTATATTGACATGTGTTGTGTTGTGATTGACTTCTGATGTTGACATGTGTCGCGCTATGATTGGCTTCTGATGTCGATACGTGTCGCGCTATGATTGGCCTCCTGGTTGAAGGGCAACTCTTCTAGATCCTTGACGGTATAACGTTGACCGGTGCTCAGTAGTTCCGAGATTGGTCAAGTATGGTACAAATAAATAGGATGGTGAGTAAAAATATTTCCCGAAACGTTTGGTTTTTCTGCATTGAAATTTGCAGCGCGCGTGCACACATATATGGGATTTTGGGTACACATTCCAGCACACTTGCTTGAAAAGGAAGACTAAAAGAGAAGCATGTCATCACAAAACACATAGAACATGAATTGGCTTTTCATCCTAAAAATATAAGCACCAAATGAAGAAATCCTATCACAATGAAGTCCTACAATTCTCTACTGAATCAGTGATACACAACATTTTCAACTGCGAAGACGCTTGGGCTAATAGATAAAAGAGCAAGCGTTAGTGCGAGCGAGTGAACGAAAGAAGCCTTCAATTTAGTGTGAGTCATAATTTTGAACATTTTTTAAGAAATGGAAGCTTCAAAATGGGGTACCAATCTCACTCGTCTCTGTGGGGCTGTACAAAGTAGACCTATTCCTTGGCCTGTTCTCCTCCAACTGCTTCACAACTTCATCCATGGAGGGCCTAACCGATGCAACCGGTGCACAGCAACCCATTGCGAGCTTCAGAGCCTGAAACAGACCTTCTTCCATGGGACTCCTCACCCCCTTCAGTACCTCCACATCGAAAACCTCCAGTGTTGTCTCCTCCAAGACTGCAACTTTCACCATCGAAGGCAAATCCACAAATTCTCCACTCCTCCCGGTTTTACCAGGCTTCTTGCCTATCAAAATTTCCAACAGAAGAATTCCAAATGCATAAACATCTGTCCTAGAACTACATTTCTTCAT